TTTTGTGTTTGAACCAAAGCATTGAATCAAGTTATAGTAATATAATCATACTATTTTCATTCTTTCTTCCTTTCTGGAAGTATTTTATTAAGCCAAAGTAGCTAATGACTTCAGAAACTGAACTTTTTGAAGTACAAAATGTTTCCTGTAATAATTTTTGGGATCAGAATTGTGGATAACCCTCAATGCCTTTAGTTTGAACTCTCTAGTAAAACATGGCGTATTGACTGGGGCAATTAGTCAATGAGAGGCTGAATACAATGACCAGTTTCTGCTCATCTGCCAATTGGTCTGCCTGTGGAGTCACTGTGCACCTGTTGGTTGCACTGTGCCTCTGTTAACTTGAGGGAGCTCCATTCTGGTTGAGAACCTCAAAGGTGTCGGTGTTCAGGAGGGCTGGAGTTTTCCTCCAAGACCCAGCTTTTGGTCACACTTGCTGTCTGAAACCATGACAGAAGCAGGAGTAGACATGGAAATCAGTTTGTAGCCCCAGCTATTGCACCTTCCTCAGTCTAGGCAGAGAGAAATCCAGTGACAGTTCTGTCTTCTAAACCAGTGAGAAAGGAAGTTAGAGTTCTAGCTCTGATTTTGACATCAAATGGTTGGGGAATCTGAGATCACTGAAGTTATTGAGCTATAGTTTGATCCTCTTCTGTGACACTACTATAAAATATGTCCTCTCAAAATCCTGGAAATATGTATGTGCATAATGATAATATCCATTCGAACAATGGTCACTTACTATTTTTCAAACCACATCTCCCTCTATTTTCAAAATAATACTATCTATTATTATTTGTACAGGAGAAAACAAAAATCAGAATAATTCCCTCAATTAACCCAGGTCCTGCAGCTGACAGTGGCAGAAGTGAATTTTGAATGTAAGTTTAATTGCCCAAGACTCTGTCAAGGTTTACCATGATCTATGCAGAGCAAAAAGAATGAGTAAGCCATTAAATTTCTTTAAAAGTAGAAAACACAATCACCAACTTGCAAGGTAACTTATGGCAAGCCTTCACTTTGAAAGACTCAAAATAAGTGTTATGCCAGAGCTGGCTATTCTTACAGCCCAACCAGAAACAACACCTAACACCCATAAATCTAGAGATGGAGTTCTATGGTCTGGAGGTGTCCCACAAAATTCAGATTAAAATAATTCTTAATGTGATGATATGAGGAAATGGGGGACTGTAAAGCACAATTAAGTCATGAAAATAAAATCTTCATGGATAAAATTAGGATCCTGAAAAAGACCCTGAAGGAATGGATTGATTCTCTTCTATCCCTTCAATCCTATAAGGACACAGCACTCCTCCCATACATGGGATATATCAACAAAGCATCAGCTTGGAAACTAAAAGCAGACCTCATCACTCAGCCTGACAGAGTTTTCCTAACTCCCAGAACTGTGATATGTATATGTATATGCATATGTATATGTATATGTAAATGATCCAGTTGCAGATGTTTTGTTTTGGGCAGATTAAAGCATGGACATTCCAAAGTTGATTAACTAGCCAATCACAAAACTACACACTATAAACAAAGATGACTTGTTCTTTTCCAGGGCTTACATAAGGCAACCTGGATTACGAAGAAATTCTTAATAAATGTTTCAAAGTAGAGATTACATAGATCATAGTCTCTGATAGAATTAACAGGTATTTGCTTTAGTAGTTAGGATGACCATATCCCATATCAGAAAGGCTGAGTTCAATTCCTGGATTCTGCACCTGATTCCAGCCCAGTAGATATTTTAGTGCAAATCTTTCAGATTTTTAAAAAATAAATACATACTTTGAAAAAATTTCTCTTTGTATGATTCTGAAATCCTTGTTTTCTTCATTCAACATTTTTATCCATGATAGCATAAACACTTGTAAAACATGTTAGTTATTGCAGAATATCAATTCTGATGCAAAACCATGTTTGACTTCACCTATGGCATGCTTTTAAAGGTTTAGGTTGCTTCTCCTTTGTGGTCTTCTAAATAGTGATTTGATGGGACCCTTACAGACTCTTGTTTCTGGGACAGAAGATACACATTCTAAAGCTCTTGACCAATATCATCAAATTTGATTTTAGAAAGGTTACATCAGTTTATACACCAAGCGTTCAATTCTAAGAGTGGCTTCCTCCCTATCCTTTTTCCGATTTTTGGGTGTTTGAAGCTTTTTCACTTTTGTTGTTACAAAGGGGTAAATGAAAGATGGGATGTGCTTGTTTCTATTTTCATTCTCATTTATTTGATTATGGTGGATGTAAGTAATATCTCCACTTTTTTAAACAGTTATACTGAGAAATAATTTATATGCAGTAGAATTTGCATATTTCAATTATTTAAGTCAGAAATGGACAGCGTTAAGAAAAATGAAGGGATCATCTAAAAGCCTGAATTTAAGGAAGCATCAAAATTTTAATCATGAAGATAAATTGCTTTCATTCAATATTGTAACAAAGTAAATTTTAAAAAGCCACACTGAGTAAAATATTACTATCTTAAATATAGTCAACATCCATCAGGCAAGGTTTTTGCTATTATTTTATGTTTGTTGCCTCTTTTAAAGCAGAATTGTTCCATGAAAATGACATGAAAAATTGTATCATGAAAGTGTTTCTTGTTCGTCTATAATGTCCGTCTATAATGCGTGTGCCATCAATTGCATTTGTAACTTCTAGTAGATTATCTTTACGTTATTGTAACTCTGTCCTAAACTAGGAAATTTAGTCAAAGACACTGAATTCTCTAAAATGTCTCTCTGAGGTGATTGGTGTAGGTTGGGACACTTGCAAGCCTTATTAGTTGGCTGGGTTGAGTTCCAACTCCATTTCTGATCCCAGCTTTCTGTCCAGTGCTGTCCCTAGGAGACAATAATAATGGTATAAGAATCTGTGTCCCTGACACCCAGCGGGTAGGTTGCTGACTCCAACTGGGAGCCGTTGCAAGCATTTGGGGAGTGAATGAACAGATGGGAGTGCTTTATCTGCTCTCCTCTCCTCTTCTTCTTCCTCTTCCTCTTCCTCTCTTTCTCTCTCCCTCCACCCTCTCGGTGTATCACCCAAATAAATAAATCATTCTAAAAAATCTTTTCTGCATCATAGCTGATACTTGGAATGCTTACTAGGAATCATAGTTAATATTGATACTAAATTTCCTAAAAGTTATTTTGGAAGAAACAAAATATCTGTTATCTGAAGCATTAATTCTAAACTTCTTATTTATTTAGGATTGTCTGTAAATCTTCTTTGCCACTGCTAATATTACTATATTTTTAATCTTTAATATGTCAACATTAGAGATTATTTCAAACTAATCTGAAGCCTGTAGCCAGGAACTAAATCCAGATCTCTATAAGAGTAGCAGATCTCTACAAAGAGTAGCTCTGTAAGAGCTATCAGTTGCAGTTTCCCATTATCTGCATCTGCAAGAAGCACAAATCTTTTTGTCTCAAACTGTTTCAAGCTGGGCTGGAGGAAAAACAGCTCCAAATTATGCATTTAATTCACCTCCCTCCCCTTTAATTAGCAACTACCTAAACATTTCTTTCTGAGTCAAGTGGATTTGCTTTTCTGGCTCTACCTCATTAATTGCTAAATGGAATAACCTCTTTGCCTGCCATTCTCCAAAGAAATTGCTGAGCTGGAGTCCAGTCCAAAATTTCAGATTGGAGCTGGTGGGGAGGTGTAGGTCAGAGCCGTGCCCTGCTCCTTTGCACTGGAGCTGAGTGGGCTACCACAGAACTGGGAAAAAGATGATCAGTGTTGTGTGATGTGAGGTTTACAGCTTTCTTGGAGTCATTTGCACCAAGACACAGATATGGACCAGAATTCTGTTGGACCCCTGTGAGGTGACACAGTATCTTGGGCAACACAGTGTCTTGTGGTTCTATTTGCTTTCCCCTTTCTGATACTTAGTTACTGGAAGCATGACAGTTGTGGATCCAGGGTAAGTTCTATATTGTAATAGAAATAAAGTTCTATGTGGTCTGACATGGTAGCCTAGTGGCTAAAGTCCTCGCCATGCACGTGCCAGGATCCCATATGGATGCAGGTTCTAAACACGGCTACTCCACTTCCCATCCAGTTCCCTGCTGTGGCCTGGGAAAGCAGAAGAGGATGGTTTAAATCCTTGGGACCCTACACTGGCATGGGAGAACCAGAAGAGGCTCCTGGTTTAGGATTAGCCCAGTTCCAGCTGTTGCGGTCACTTGGGCAGTGAATCATCAATGGGAGATTTTCCTCTCTGTCTCTCCTCCTCTTTGTATATCTTACTTTTCAATAAGTAAGTAAGCAAATAAATAAATAAATAAATAAATCTTTTAAAAAATAAGTCCTATAAAAAACAGAAAACTGAACCAGTATTAAGTGGATTATCTTATGTATTCCCCATTACTTCTTGATCTTCTTCAACAGATGATCCAGCTCATTTCTAGCACATAAGATAGCCAACTCTATAGGAATAACCACAATGAAATGAATATAATGTTGCATTGGTTTTCCTCCATTAATGCTGGTGAGAAGCAATGCTTGATGATGTATTAAGGAACTTCAAAGTATTATAGAAAAATGGAATTACTGATGCAAAAAATTGAAATCAGTGCATTATTTTTCACAATATGAATTTATCCATGAAGTTTAGGATGCCTCTTGGATATGTGTCTTTCATTTGTTTTTCACTGAAATATACATCTTTTAATTACTACTTTTATTAATACTTTGAAGTATTCTTATAGACTTCTTCGGGAGAATAGAACGCAGTAATGCAGTTTTTAAAGCACTTCATAATTTGGCAAACATGATGGCTCAGCTGGCTAATCCTCCCCTTGCAAGTGCCAGGATCCCAAATGGGTGCTGGTTCATGTCCCGGTTGCTCCACTTTCCCTTCCAACTCCCTCCCATATAGATTCTTAATTGTTTTCAAAAGATCAAAGAAAAGTACATATTAGAGATCTGGTTATGACAATGAGTAGACACTTATTACATAAAAATAGAGAGCCTACCTGGTGTGGGAGTTGGATGTTCAGTAGCAGAGTCAGTTGAGGTGGAAGATTCGTCATTGGTAGTTGATGTAGTGATGGAAGCTGCAAAGAGAAGGTGGAGGAAATAAAATTTATTCCAAAGTAAGTTCATAGATATTTTCAAAAATCCTTTAAAAATCCAAATGGAAAGAAACTCATCAAGACATGCTTAGCTTAATTTCGCATTTTAAAATCCACGTGTGAGGAAGGATTCCTCAAAAACTTCTTGGAAAATGTATACTATGAAAAGTGAATGGATTTTCAGGGCTTTCTTGTTGCACCAAATTTAAAATTTTTTAATCCCATTTTCGCAGAACTTTTTTGAACTCTGCTCCTAAGTCAGTTTTGAGATTCAATCCCCTCTTTCTCCTGTTTTAGGATTCTATCAAGGAATTCACATTAAAAAGCCCATTTGTTTTTTAAAAAGCCAGTTTCACACCATGCTAAGCACATGCATTGCTTTGGTAACTCATCCCAGGCTTATCTCTAGTTCACAGAGGTCACACTTGTCTGCCACTAGGTCTGGTCCTTTGTCACTTCTGAAATGAATACTTATGGAGTGCCTGGGAATGTGGAGCACATGTGAGAGGAAGTTTTTGCTTTTCAATAATCTTAGAATCCCGGGGTCCCTGACAAGCAGTTCTTGTAACTAATTTCTGTAACAATTAAACAGTTAGAAGGGGGCTTAGTTCACGGATCGCTGAAGCAGAAAGAGATACCTTGTTTCTTCGTTATTGTGAAGTGAGTATCTGGAGGGCTGTGTGATCAGATGATTGGTTAAATGGATGAAAACAGTACTTTCCTCTCCTGCCCCTTCAGCTCCTTTCCCCTGCCATCCCCACCTTCACTTCCTCCCTCCCTTATTCAACCAATACTCTACTACAAATCCAGAACGTTCTAGACTTTGGGCACACCTTAATGAATAAAGCAAGCATACTACTACTCCTCTTGGACCTTTCAATCAAATCAATAACCTAGAACCCAGAATCCAAATTTTATATGAATTGTGATCAAAACCAGAAACGTCTAGCAGCTCCAGATTTAGAACATAAACCCTAATTATGTGTTTTCAGATAATTTCTTAGCATCATTGTCTGATTTCCTTTGAGCACGTTTAGTTTGTTCCTCTTTTATAATGTTCTAGTTCATTACATTTAATGTCTCCTCCCAGACTTTGGAATCGACTGCTTATCATTGTCCCTCTCCTAGCCCAGAATCATCCACTCAGAAAGAGTGGATCCTGCCCTGTTTCAAAGCAATCTTCTGCATGTATGTATTTCAACCTCCTCCGTTCTTTTTCTTTTTCTTTCTTTCCTTTTTTTTTTTTTTTAAAGATTTACTTACTTTTATTGGAAAGTCAGATTCACAGAGAAGGAGTGACAAAGATCTGTCCACTGATTCACTCCCCAAGTGGCCTTAAAGACCAGAGATGAGTTGATCAGAAGCCAGAAACCAGGAGCCTCTTCTGGGTCTCCTATGTGGGTTCAGGGTCCCAAGGCTTTGGGTTGTCCTCTACTGTTTTCCTAAGCTACAGGCAGGGAGATAGATGGGAAGTGGAGCAGCCGGGATATATATGGGCACTCATACGGGATCCTGGCACATGTAAGGTGAAGACTCTAGCCACTAGGCTACTGTGCCAGGCCCTGTTTACTTCCCTATACTATTTTTTTTTTCATTTCTGTTTTGATTGTAGTAATTTCCTTGTTCTGTTGATTGAATCTCTGTTCTCTCTCACCATGTAGCTTGGTGGGAGCTCATGCATCTTATTGCTGTGATCTGGACACAAGGCTTGGCACCTGACCTATTACTGAACAAACAAGTGAGTGAAGGAATTCAGGGAATGGGCACCAATCTGTTTTAGGAAAATGACCTCTGATAAACTTAGATTGAATTTTTTCTAAAATTATTTATTTTCTTCTAAAATTACTGTAGAAAATGGAGTGATCCAAAAAATTTTTATAGCCAACAGTGTTTAACCTTCTCTTCAACTAAAGAGCAAAGGGGAAGGATGAAATATGCTCCGATGCCTTTCTATTTTATTATCAAGTAGCCACACCAGGACAAAAATGCTAACAGCTTAGGCCCTGATTGTCACTGCAGCTTGCAGCATCCTGGGACCTCAATGACCTCATCAGCATCCTCACACAAAGCCTTCATTCACTCTGGGCAGCTGGAGCCCTGAACAATTCATTTCTTTTCTAGGAACCCTTTCCAAAGTTTGGGCACATCAATGTCACTATTGACTTTCCTAATGTTTTACTCTCTCCTCCCTCCAACTGTGTCTAATTTTGATCAGATCATCCACTTTGCCTTCTGCAGCAACCCAAAAGAATAATTCTTTTCTCTCCATATAATCATTCTGCAAATATTTGAATATATTTACATAGTATGCTACATCCCTTCCATTTCTCTCCTTTTTTATTTTCTTTTGTTCAAACTGGATAATTTCTTCCTTTTCTACTTTGGAAAATAAAAACATCATTATGAAGTTTCTGCTTCCATGTAAATTTTCTGTTCTCCCTAACTTGTAAGAGACCGCCATATACCCAGGTTTGCTCCATCAGCTGTAATTATTTTGATAATTATACTTACATTGATGATATTTTCATTATATTACTAATTGTAGTAATTAATTGCTGTTAAAGCTAGGCATTAGAATAAGAGCATTGCATTACTGTTACTATGAGGCAGGTACTGATGTAACCCACGTTATATAGATGAGGACATTGAGGCAAAGAGTGGGTACATTGGGGTACATTTGTTCCTGATGTTCCCCAGGCTATCAGAGGTGGAACCGGATTTGAAGCCAGTTCTGGCTGTTCCTCATGCCTGTGCTCTGAGTTCTTCTGCTCTTTTATGCTCTGGGATACCTTAGAGAATGCTAGATCTTCCCCCCTCTGTTTTATATATCATACAGTAAATCGCTGATACCTGCTCTGGTTTGGATTAGTGCAGTATCTAATGTGCTAGGTAGATTGCAAGTCACAGCCTGGTTCTTTCCCAAGCACGAGTGTTTCTAGCAGCAAAAGAGACCAAAAACAAGGTTAATGTGAGGCACCTTTAAAATACCTCTAGCTATTCATTTGTGAATGAATTGATATGGATTTCTCCCCAGTCTCTCATACTGGCACATAATGCCTGTGCCAACAACAGATTTCATTTTTATTGTTCTTACATTGAACCTTATGAACAGACCCACAGAGAGGAACACAGTTCCTTGTTTCAGAATTCATGCTGGAGGCGTCTCCCTTTATAGCAGAAGAAATAGGAAAAGGCATTTTTAAAAAATGATACTTTACCCATCAGCACTTTAATCAATGATGCCTTAATTTGGAAAAATTTCTCTACAACTGAAACAAAGTAACACACTAATTCACAAAAAGCCATTTCACATGTTTGATGAAATTCATTCAGTTTTGACTAGGTTTAGAATGGAAACAGCCACAAATACAAAGAGATTTCAACAATTTTGTGGAAACTGAAATTAAAAGGTAAATTAATTTAGAAACAAAAAATTCTTGAAATGTATGCATCTTTTCATAGTATGTGTTTTCTACGATATTTTTGAAAATTATTCATATGTAATGATTTCACATTTTGCTTGCACTGAAGTAAACATCTTTTGATCCCATTTTTTCTGTGTGCTTTTTAAAGCATCCTTAGAGTGGATTATATTGTGTCATGTCCCGTCCCTCACCAACTGAATCCCAATAAAACACATCCATCAGACTGGAATCTCATTAATTTACTCATCTAAGCTGGTAAGATACAGCTGCTATGAGGTAGATCTCATTTTTTAATCTATGATTTCATATTCAACAGGTAAGCATCTAGTTTAAAAACAAATGACTTACCGAACAATAATAGTGCAATTGCTATTATTTCATACATCTTGAGACCATGAGCTGGTGCACAAAGTCGATGCAAGCAAACCACGAAGGAAGACTGGAAGAGCCAGTGCCTGTCCCCAGCCTGGATGCTCTTATCTTCTAGGCCCACCTTCTGAGGTCACCATCAGGCCTTAGGCCTGGCTGGCATTTTAAAAAGTGATGTGAAGACATGAAGTGTCTGTTAACCAAGATATATGGTCCGGTTACCTGGGACAGTGAACGTGGTAAGGAAATCTTCATTTCAAGGAGCAGACTGCTGCTTGTGAAAATTGTGAAACTGTCTTTGCAAAATTTAAGTGGGCATGGCAAGCTGGCAGTCTTGAGACTACCCAATGAGAGGATGAAGGAGAAATACAATGGCCTGTGGTCACAGCATGCAGCAGATGGGCACAGCCATGCAGGCTACGAACCCCTCTTTATGTGGAGATGTATGTGGTTCAAGACGAAAATTAATTTTGTTGATTTGAAAAGTAGAGATAGACTTAGAGGACAGACAGTCTCTCAATTTCTCACCAACTGGTTTATTCCCCAAGATCCCCAAAGTGCGGGATGGTGCCAGGCTGAAGTCAGGTCTCAGTTTCCCCATGAGCATCAGAGAGAGATCCAGGTACTGGACAGCCACCCGGGGTGTGTGTTAGCAGTAAGCAGAGCCGGCGCTCAAAGCCAGGTACGCCACCAATAGGGCACACAGGGATCCCCAGGTATCAGATGCTCACCCTGCAGATAAACTGTTACGCTTCAAATAAATGCACCTGAAAACGTTAACTGCTATTTGAATAGCCTGATTTCTGAAAACACTTCAAACTCAGTACACACACCCAGCAATTTAAGTGACTCAAAATGCAAGAAGTCTTATTGAAGCAGAGCTTGGATTAAATATCAGAACCCACATGGCCGTGCAAATAGTTATTTATTTTCAAAATATGCCTCACTTAGTAACCTTATGAAATATCAAGATAATATATGTAAATATGGCAAAAAAGAAATTGTCAAACAAAATCTTGTCATAAGGCAAGTTAAAACGTGATGTTAGGCCTAGTGTGGTAGATAGCCTATTGGCTGAAACTTTTGCCTCACATGTGCTGGGATTCTATATGGGCACCGGTTCTGATCCTGGCTGCTCTGATTCCCTTCCAGCTCCTCTTTTTGTGGCCTGGGAAAGCCATAGAGGATGGCCACAAGCCTTGGGATCCTACACCCATGTGGGAGAGCTAGGAGAAGCTCCTGGCTCCTGGCTTCAAATGGGCTCAGTTCTGGCTATTGCGGCCACTTGGGGAGTGAACCAGCAGATGGAAGATCTTTGTCTCTCCTCTCTGCAGATCTTCATTTCTGGTTCCAGTTTCTGATGGCTTTCCTGAATTTTCGAATCTAGCTGCCTGCTGGAGCGCACTCTAGAGGCAGAGATGAAGGCTCAATTAATTGGGCTCCTGTCACTCAAAGGAGAGATTTGAATTGAGTAGTCTCAGATGGTCCTGGTATTGTGGTTATTTGAGAAGTGGATCCATGAATGGAAGCGCTCCTTTTCTGTCTCACTTGTTCTCTCTTTTTCTCAAAGAAATTGAGTATGCATTTTTAAATGTGTGGTATAGGAAGTTTGGGCAAAATCAATATTGAAGGAGGCAAAATGAAAACCAATAAAATTAAATTACTTTATTTGAACTCTTCTGAAAAAGTTTTTCAATGATTGAATACTTAAGTTCTGCTGTCTGCTAAAAACAATTTTGTGTGAAAGTTTTTCTTGCCTGACCCAGGTTATCAATTTGCAAAGTAAGCAGTTAGTCAAATATCTCATTTTCCTAAAAATTGTTTTTCAAAAAACCATGTAAGAAACTGATGGCTGCAGCTTCTTGAAAGTGAGACACAGAGGAAAAAATATACAGAATGCACACTAGGGCAAGGAGGAAGATATACACCAGGTAAGCATCCCTAAGAGGGGGCGCCTGAGATTGAGGTTTAACTGGGAGCTGAGGTGCACTTGGGGGAGCCTGCGGATGCAGGACTCAGAACAGGCAATGTGAACAGCAGAAGCACAACCTTGCACAGTTGTGAAAACCAGAGCCTTTCTAAGCACTCTGATAATTCATGCAAAGCCACTACAAAAAGTGTCGCAATTTTCAATAACTCAATACCTTCCATAAAATATAATCTGTAGTTGGACACCAGGTTGCAGAAATGGTGTGACGAGATTACCTAATGAAGGAGATCTTGTGGATGTTAACCTGAGTGGTAATGAATGATTACACTAGAGTTTATACTGATAACGGGAGAGAAATTTGCATGAGCCTTAAAAATATTCTTTCTCTTCTCAGTTGAATGAAACAGTTACTTATCGTCCTCACAACAGACTATGGAAATCTTGTTTCCGAAAGTAAGGGCACGAAGATTCACAATAAAATAGGTCACTGGAAAGATGAGGTCCCAAAACTGGATCTACGGAAATAAGATTTGGTTGACTCTATTGAACTGTAGTCCTACCATGCACACACTTGTATCAGCTTACATGACCTACTCCAATGCTGCTTGGGATTTTAATTAACTAGGACTTCCTCCAAGAAGTGTTCTCTGACTTCCTAAGTCTCAGGCGCCTCTGTGCTAGATTTTTATGCTCCCCATTTTTCTCTTGTCATAAGTCTTACCATACTGCACAGCAACCACCTTTGGCTCCCAACTGGACTTGTAGGAGGGCATGCTCTGCGTGTGGCAGTCATCTACCACCAAGCACCTGGGACACAGTATACCTGTGGTATGACCCAGCTTCAGGTTACTCTCAGCGCAAAGTCCCTGCTAGGGATGGCCTGAAAAAAAAAATGAGAATCAGCCTAGAATTCAGAGTTTCCAATTCTTTATCTGAATTAACTGGCTCCTAAGAAGATGTTCTCACTGTTCCTTCTGTTCCCCACTGAAACAACTCCTAGTCATTCTTGGGATTTCCCTGGCCTTCCCATGCAACTTCATTGACATCTGTCTCAGGGTGTGCTGGGCCATTGGTTGTCTGTATTTGTGGGTCCTGTCCCCTCAGTAACTGAGAGGATATCCTGCAGAGGCAGAGGGGCAGACAGCTAACATCTGTCTTCAGGACGGGCCACCAGATGACGCAAGAAGCCACCCACGTGACCATGGACTGCAGAAGAGCAATGGATGTTTTCCCTGTGGTCAACTGGAAGAGCTAATCAGATCTTATTTATGTATTTATTTATTTGTTCGTTATTTTTCATGATACAGCTTTATAGGCATAAGAGTTCATCCCTTTACTTCCTGTTCCTGAAGAGTGGGAAGTAAACTTGGGTTAATATAGGTTTGTAGCTTCCTTTGGCTCACATCAAGTATTTGCATTGCCTGGCCTGGTTAAAGAAAGGCGAAGCCTGAAAGACACACTTTATGGGAACTGGCTGTCACGCACTGGGTGTGTGGATGCAGAGTGGCACAGTGCCCTCTGGTGGTAAATCTGCATAACTGAGGGGGAAATGTAAGCCCAGAAAATGCAACCCACAGTATCATCAGATTATACTTTTTCCATTTAGACATTTCCCTAGACCCCTTTATATCCTAACACTCCATAAAATACTAACCATAAGATATGTTATGCAAATATGATAGACTGAACCAGATATCTTTTCGTGATTTTGAATCTGTGCCTAAAGAAAATGCTTTTTGAGCATAAAGAAGTTAGTGTCACTGCAATTTCTTGGTAGCGCATATCCTTGGTCTGCACGTATCTTACTATCATTGAGTGAGCCACTATTATAGGATGCTCACAGACAAAGATGAAACACATGAAGCACAAAGTTGTAAATCAGGAAAGTAGATTTGGATCCATCAACCGAGACATGCATCGAACAGGGAAACAATAATTTCACCAACTAGTAGTCTCCCAACTATTTCAAGCTCAAATTGCTTCTGAGGGTGGTGGCATGCCGGGTGGGTCTGCCAGAGGATCAATCTGCTTTCTATAGGTTAAATGGAAGACTGAGAGCAGGGGAAGGACAGGAATGCCGAGGCTTGGAGTATACTGTTCTTGTTACAGAGAGAAAGGAAAAATGGGCAAATGAAAAACCAGCTTTTAATTCATCTGTTCAGACAGCATCTATGTGTGGTGATATATGGTATGTGTCATTTTGGTCATATTTTCTTTTTTAAAAAAGATTTATTTATTTATTGGAAAGCCAGATATACAGAGAGGTGGAGAGACACACGAGAAGATCTTCCATCTGATGATTTGCTCCCCAAGTGACTGCAATGGTCAGAGCTGAGCTGATCTGAAGCCAGGAGCCAGGAGCTTATTCCAGGTCTCCCAGGTGGGTGCAGGGTCCCAAGACTTTGGGCCATCCTCGACTGCTTTCCCAGGCCACAAGCAATGAGCTGGAAGGGAAGCAGGGCTGCAGGAATTAGAACCGGCACCCATATGGGATCCTGGTGCACTCAAGATGAGGACTTTAGCCACTAAGCCACAACACTGAGCCCTGATTATGTTTTCTTTGTCAGTAAAACAATGACACAGGCTGACATTAGCGGGAAAAGAAATCAAATTCTTCCCGAGAGTAGCCCTGCAAGAACAATGGTGAGGCCACAAAAAATATGTACAGCAAGGCAGGGGATATTGGAAGCACCAATTCAATCTATCACCTTCATTTGTTTTCCCTTTTTGTGCACTTAAGTTTGAAAATCAAATGTAATTAGAAGGCTCACTAAAGATCTTCTAGTGATGAGATTTAACCTATGTTCCAATTTTCTGCATTTTCGATTTTAAGGTAACATGATGTCTTTTGGAGATAAGTTCAGGAATGCCTAAGCAATCAGAGCTGTCTTCACTCCGTGGTGAGGTAGGTAGTGACCAACTGTTTCCAGTTGTCTCTCAGTAAACCCCTTGTGCTATCTTTCTCAAGTTAGGAATCATTCCTGGTATTTCTGCATTACATTGATAGTTCCAACTTATCCTTTATTTGAATCACTCAAGAAATGGTTAACAAGCAGCTAACAGGCACTATGCTAAATGCTGGAGACACAACCTTCAGGAAAATTCTTGAACTTTCCTTTCAAGAATTTGCAGTTCAACTGGGAGACAAAGTAGAAAGCCACAGCACCAGAAAGTGTCAGATGATGTGTTGCAGTGAACAAAAGAGCAGTACTGCAGGATGTAGAAGGGGCACCTAACTCAGCCATGGAGCTCTGTGGAGGGCTGTCCAGAGCCAGCACTGAGATTTGAAGGATAAACATGGTCAATAAAGGACAACGTTTAAGGCTAAATGCAAGGATGTTAATCCATTTTCCTTCTAACAATGCAAAGATGAAGTTGACATGGTTCTCTAAATAAACACTATATAAGGTAGGACCCCTGCTGGTCTCTGGGTGGGATGAGAAGGGATGAAGGTTGGGGTGGAGGTGAGGTGGGTGAGAGAAAAGATCCACTCTCCCTCTTATGACATGGGGAGGGGGCATGTGGCACCACTCCTTGCCTCTAGATCACATCAGCATCAGGAGGCAGAGGTGGTTCCTTAATTTCCTGATGTGGAGGGGGAAGAATGTCCTAAGGTATCACTTGAGTAGTCTTGTTTGTTCTGAAACAGTTTCGGCTTCATTGATCCAGGTATGAGGTACCACTTCCTATATTTGCCAGCTGTTTATGTTTCAGTATGTCCATAGCCATAGATACTTAGTGGAGAATTTAGCCTGTAGCATTATTCAACCTGCTCTTCTTTCCACCTTTTGCTCAGGTACTCAAGTTCCTCTGTTGAGTAAGAGGCCAATTGTCCTGTCCTTCACTTGCATCCCGGGATGTTGTCTCTGCTTACGCAGAGTCAGCAATGGGTGTGGCCCAGTCCCCCATTGTCCCCCAAGGCCAGATCAGATGTTCAGGTGGTTTTCCCTGAGCTTAGGAATCAGATGGCATGGGCCCGTTGAGCTGACTCCTAACAGCCCCTACTGAATTGGTCCCTAGTTCTGGTTCTCATATGCATCAGCAGGCTCTGCAGCCCAGCACAGCATGTACTGCCACAAGACCCAGCCTCGTGTGTGCTGGTGGGTGGTATTGCGGCCTGGTAGGAGTGACCCCCAAGAACCCCAGCTATGCCCACACCCAGACTTGATCCACACAGGTGCTGTGGCCTGGCCCTGCCTACCCCAAGACCAACCCTCTCTTATACTAGTGTCCTAGTCGATAGATCCCCGAGTACCGCTTCTAAGCCCCATCTTAGAATTGGCTGTCAATTGTGCAAGCAAGTGCTGCAGCCTAGATTAGCCTGGCCTGGCCCAGCCTTATTCACTGGAATACACTGATATAGTTAATACAGAGTTGACATTCACCAGGTCCAGAATGCCTATCAGCTATTGGCTACTTTTCTCCCTGAAGTGTACACTTGCTTAGGTGTACAAGGAAACTTAGGTCATTGCCTACAGCTGGGAGTTTCATGTTTTAAGACTGCATGTATCAAATACATGAAGTCTCGTCCCTTTGTATAAATAATTAAAAAGAAAAATGAAAGAATGACTATCTTTTAGCCACTAAATTATGGAAGAAACCATTACCGATTTGGTACATGACTACGTAATATGGGCTTTATTTTATCCCATTTCTCCAGTTTTCTGTTCTTGTGCCAACATCTTATTCTGACTTATACCTTCATTACAGAATAAGGCTTGTTCTTTCATTCTTCTTTTTCAAGACACCTGTATTCATGTATATTTTGGAGGGGGCTGTTAAAATTTCCACCTTGACATTCATCTGTGATAGCATTGAGTTCTTGAATCTTTGGGGATCAGAATTAAAGTCTTATTAGTATTGCATTTTCAGTCCATAACCACAATATCTTTTGCCATTTATTTTGGTTTGCTTAATTCCTTAATTCTTCTCATCAATATTTTATATTTATTTGTATAGAAGTTGCCTTGGTTTGGAGGTAGTTTGCTCCCCAAAGGTTCATGCGTTGGAAGCCTGGCCTTCAGTGAAGTAGTACTTGAGGTGGTGGAAACTTGAAGAGATATGTTCTCATGAGTGATAATTAAATACCAGGGCATCACCCTGGAAGGCACTTATTGCTGTCTCACAGGAACGTGTTATACTTCCTGTGACTTGTGCATGTGCTTGACCTGGTCTGCTTGTGATTGATTCATTTTCTACTCCTCCACCATCTTGAGTCATATAACCAGAACATCCTTACCGGGGTTCCAGCACCATGCCACTCAGCCATCAGAATCACGAGTCAAATGAAGCCTTGTACTTTATAAAGCACCCAGAGCCAGGTATGTGGTAAGAGCAGCAACATGCACTCAGCAAAAAAATTACTCATTATTTTGTACATTCATGCTCTCATCAAGAGGGTTCTTTTAAACTTTGAAAGGATTTTGTTGATAGTGTGTGCAATGATTTTTCATGTTAACTTCATACATGAGAATCTTGCTAATATTCCCCTAGATTTTTTTTAAGATTTATTTATTTTTATTGGAAAGGCAGATGTACAGGGAGGAGAGTCAGAGAGGAAGATCTTCCATCTGATGGTTCACTCCCCAATGGCTGGTGCTGAGCCATTCTGAAGCCAGGAGCCTCTTCCGGTTCTCCCACGTGGGTACAGGGTCCCAAGGCTTTGGGCCGTCCTCAACTGCTTTTCCAGGCCACAAGCAGGGAGCTGGAAGGGAAGTGGAGCCGCTGGGATTAGAACCGGCGCCCATATAGGATCCCGGCGTGTTAAGGGAGAGGACTTTTACTGCTAGGCCACCGTGCCGGACCCTCCCTTATAAATTCTAAAATATTTTATGGATTTTAAAAATATACAACATATGTAATTCTGTTGATCTGTGAATTACAGTTGTTTATAAAAAAACACTTATTTGTTTTATAGTGCCTAGAACTTCATGTAAAATGTTTAGTCAGATGATACTAACAGAGAACCCAGTCTGAAATTCTGTTCCTGGTTTCTGAGACACTGAGAGACACAGATCTTTCCTCTGCTGGTTGGTTTATTCTTCAAATGTTATAATAGCTTAGGCTCTGTTAGACTAAATTCAAGGACACAGAACTGATATAGGCCTGGAGTTTTCTTTATTAAAAATTTTATTTTCCTTAAATTATGGATTCAATTGAATTCCACTGAATCAATTTCCTTAGCAAAGTACACACCTAGCTCCTTTCTAATGTGCCCGGAAAAGCAGGGGAAGGTGATACAAATACTTGGGCCCCTGCTCTCACGTGGGAGATCCAGGTGAAACTTTCTACTGTTTGTTGGCTCACTTTCCTAGTGAATGCAACTGCCAGAGCTAAGCCATTCCTAACCCAGGAGCCAGGAGCTTCTTTCATGAGTGCAGGGGCCCAAGGACTTGGGTCATTCTCCATTGCTTTCCCAGGCCATTAGCAGGGAGTTGGAAGGGAAGTGGAACAGCCAGAACTAAAACTGGCACCCATATGGGATATTGGTGCCCTGGCTCAAGGATTAGCCTGCTATATATGGCACTGGCCCCAACTTCTTCATTTTTATGAAAGGTAATAACATTTCTTTTTAAAAATGTCTATTTCATTAAATTCTCTTTAGACTGATATTAAAATGTATATAATAACCAAATTTTGTTGCTATTCATATGCTATGTTTTTTTCTGTCTTTTACTGTCAATGTCCTTAATGCTTGTCTCTTACCAACAGTACATAGTTACAGCTTTTAATTTAGTGTTGTAGACTTTGTGCCTCCTTGGAGTGATTCATGTACTGAATGAATTAATTCTATTGTTACATATTCAGTTTTTCAAGTTACAATGCATCTTTTATTTTATAGGCTCTGTTTCACTTATTTTATTTGTGCTATGTATAATATGTATTGCTTTCTTGGTTATGCTTAACAGTTATTTTAAAGTCTTTAATTGACTCCAAAATTTAAATGTTAGTGTCTTAGCTATTTATAGTAAATAGGAATAAGTTCAAATTTACTATTTTAACAATTTTATAATGTATAGATCATTGACATTAAGTACATTGACATTGCTGTTTTTCTTTCTAATTTTGGCAATTTGCCACATTTTTTTTCCTCTTTACATGTCCAGTAATTTTCTATGTATGCATGATATATTAAGCTTTGCATTTTATCTTCTACCCATGTAGCTTTAATGGGGAATATATTGAGGAAGAGATGCATCAATATTTTATAGCAGACTCCTTTCCTCTAGTAGGAGTTTGCTGTTTCCTAATTTAGCTCCCCAGCCTATTAGGTATTCCAAAATCAGCAAGTGTTCTGGAGTGAAAAAAAAGAATTTATGGTTGGGCCCTAGCTCATCATTTGTTGTGCCAGCGCTGATTAAGTTCCCAAAGCTTTGACCACTTTTCTTCCTAACCCTCCCACCCCAGTTTATGCCCATAGGGGAAAAAATCAGCAAATAGGCAAGGAAAGAGGAACTCCATGAGAAATACTAACTCCCTAATGTGACTATGTAGGTCACTATTACCTCCCATGCCTTCACAAGCCTATCGTATGAGGAACAATTTTCCTGATGATATTCTCACTCTTTCCCTCACTGTATCAATTTTGAGTGTAGTTGATCAATAAGAAAATATATAAGAATTATTTTTAGTGATAGACTTTTAGTTTCTTAATATCTGGTCCAGGAGACTGGTGATATTTCATGAAACTATAAAATCATAGATCTGAGTATTCCTGCCACTTTTGTCTTGCAATACTAGGTTCAGAGGCCAAAAGTGGATGTCTCGCTGTAGCAGCTATTATTGTTTGGAGCAGCAAATATTAAAAGCTAAAATTAGGGCATTGTTACATGCAGGGATGGGAGAAGAGGCATGTCTCTTCAGTATCTGAAATAGGTATACTTTGTTCCAATGCGCTGGACTCAC